GTATACCTTCAGAGAGTTAATAACTATTAGATGTTAGATTAAGAATCATTGTGATTAGTAAAACAGCCAAAACATGATCAAGGCTAGACACACACCCCTCCAAGAGACGAGGATGCTGAGGAATTAGGTTTCACAGACAAGCATGCAATTTCTACTCAGGAGACAGCGTTTCTCTGCTGTCTTTCTTTCTCCTTTCAAGAACTCAAAAGTATGTATTGAACATTTGCTGCATTAAAATAACTTGAGCTTTAGAATCAAGGTTGAGATGTGCTGGCCTTGTCCTCCCTGCAGGAACCCTGTGGGACAAGGCTAGCCCCGTACACCTGAGGCTAACACCCCCATGAGGTAACAAGTACTGCAGATGCCGGCAAGTGGGAGGGAAGGTTCCAGCTCCTCATCACTGTAAGTAAATTGGTGCTTCGAGTCCTGACTCATCCGTTGTGTGAATCACAATGCCACTGCCTTTTGCGACTCATAGCTCTAGTTCTGCTGCATGCAGCGTGCACATTTTAAATATTTATGAAAAGGCCGTTTCTTCTCCTCATGGCAATCAATCATTATTTTTTAAATTTTGTGTTAATTTGGTTTCTAGTAACTCTCATCTTAGTGCAAAGGAACAATGTGTGAGGCTCAAATTTCCTTGTGGACCCAAGGTTGCCTTGCTTAGACTGTGGCCCACAGGAGACCAGTGCTCATTGTCCACGCCACTGTCTGAGAATTAGACACCAGCAGGAGACTGCCCGTGTACATAAAGCATTTTATTGACTCCTAGTGTAGAAATATAGTTTTTTATTCCTATAGCTCTGCCTCTTCTTTACTTCTCTAGAAATAAGAGCTCTAGAAACAAGCTACAAAAGCAGCACTTGTGTGGATTTCTTTTATTCACAAGTGAAACGCAATAGCTCTATATGTCTGCTCAGCTGAGACCAGCACTATAAGGCAGCCATCCTGTTTTTCAGGAGGAGTCAAGACACTGAACCCTTTATATTCCCCAGGTATATCTTATCATTTTTATTGTGAAAGTAGGAGTTATTTGTTTCATGTCTTCCATCACATAGAAAAATTTCTACCAAATATAATAACAGCTCTGCTGGTAGCAATGCCTTAAACAACAAATAATGTAATAACCAATATTAATCTATTATTTATAATAAATAACATATTTGTTAATGAAAGGTATTATTAGAAAGTCAGTAAATCTCATGTTATTCAAATGATTCCATAAAATTTTTAGTTAAAACAATGATAAATATGTACATATTTTTGTTGATATTTAGCATCTGTAAATTTTTGTTTTCTATGATTTCTTATAGACATTTCAAAGACTGAAAATATGGAGTGATGATAACCTACAGGCTGAGGTCAAGAGGCGTAGATGGCAGGCACATTTGATTACTAATTAAAGTTATCTAAGATCTTTGAGTTTATATATAGGAGCAAAAATTAAGATGCAACCATAGTCAGCTGGTGGCAGGAACAGAAGAGGCCTGTGAGACGCCCTGGGAAAGAAGTTCCCAGAGACAGTGTGAAGGTAAACCCTCCTGATAACTCTGCCTCTAAAAATAAAGACACTGTGTTCTTCGTTTTACTAGAGAAGTAGAGGAGAGGCAGAGCTGTAGGAATAAAAGAGAGATACATAATATTATCAAATTACATTTCTACACTAGGAGTCAATAAAATGCTTTGTGTACACGGGCAGTCTCCTGCTGGTGTCTAATTCTCTGACAGGGCTGTGGACAATGCAAACTGCTCTCCTGTGGGCCACAGTCTAAGCAAGGCAACCCAGAGACTCAAGCTTGCTCGTTTTTCTACCCAAGGAAGATCATGGCTGCAAGAGAATAGACAATCACAACATTGATAATTTGGTTTTTCACAAAGCATGTATTTGGGGGAGTCCATGTGAGTGCTGCCACCCACCAGTGAACAAGAGACAAAAATCCAAGGTGTGCTCAAAATCGATGGGACCAGTGGGTACAAGAAGGAAGGAGACTTCCTTGTATTGGCTCACTCTTATGTAAAACTCCCATCCAGACGTCTTGGGCTACCAAACTGACATCACCGTGTACAGGATTAGAAGAGACATGCACAGTTATCTCAATGAACATGTGTGGACTGGTACCAGCAAGACTCTGAAAAATGTTTCTGGCCAAGTGCAAAAAGCCTGTCCTGATGAGAAGAGAGAAGCAACCTACCACACCAGCCACACACTTAGTGAGTCAAATAAGGAAGGTGTGGGGGAGGGGGAAGAAAGGCGGAGAAACTGGATGGGCAGTGGAGAATCTCAAGGGAATAGTTTTAGGGTGCCAGATAATAAAGCCTTTAGAGTGAGTGTTTAGGGCTCTATCCCATGAGATTCAAAGACACTGAAAGATTTGTGGCATGCTTGGTTTTGTTTCTGGTAATACAACTCAAAGGCTACTCTCACAAGTGTTTTGAGGATAAACCATTTAGGACCGGCCAAAGGCAGATGCTCTTACAGTGATTCAGACAAGAGAGAGGGTGGCTTTGGGTCAAAGTGGTAGCAGAGAGATGGTCAGAGAGAGTGACAGTTCCGGGACATGTGGAGTTCTACCCAGCAGAGTGTGCCGACAGGTTGGATGTGGGGGATGGCTCATACTGACTCCATAGTTCTGTTCTAACTGGATTGACAGAGTCAGAACTTCCTGAATTGTTACAAAGACAATGGGGACAGGAATAATGTAAGAAAGATTGGGTGTCTTGTTGTCTCTGAGGAAAGTTCCTTATGTAGCTCAGGCTGACCTTGAACTCATGATCCCCCTGCCTCAGTCTCCCTAGTGCTGGAGGTTACAGGGGTGCACCACCCTACCTAGGGTTGGATTTAAGTCGGTATAGTTTGGTATGCTTTCTTGACATCTAATTGGCGATGCAGAACCAAGCAGTTGTGTGCAGGGGTCTGGTTGTAAGGGTAGGTCTGGCTTAGAAACACAACTGTGTGAGTTTGCAAGGTCACCCTCACATTGAGAACTCAAGGACGTGAGCACCTGGAGAGAGCAGAGACTCAGGGACATTCCAGCAGTGTTTTTAACACTTTGCAAGTCCAAGTTCACTGAATTCCTATAACAACTCCCAGAAATGGATGTTATTTATTTTCCCCTTTTACAAATCATCAAACTGAGGCACAGAAATGCTGAGGAACTCAGTCACACTGGCAAGCAAGCGACTACTAAATGGTACCTCGGCATTTCCAGCCACGCTCTCTGCATCCAGAGCTCTTGCTAGAGATGAGATCCCATCTACAGGCTTGAGCCTCAAGCCCCATGACAGTTGGACATAAACAAGGTGAGGCCAAACAGAATGTCTTAGAATGTGGGTCAAAACTTTGCTTTGCCCAAGGAATCCTACTCATGTTCAGAGAGAGTGAGTGCCATTGAAACTAAGTAAAACCAAAACATTGTTCCCTTTGCAGTGAAGAGAACTGTATAAAATAATAGAGGAGGCAGAGTCCCCTCTTAAACCTACTTTCACTGGGTGCATGCCACTCCGTTCACAGCTCAGCTCAGTGAGAAGCGGCAAGCAGTACATAGAGACACAAAGCTTCTGCTTTGCCTGGGAATATGGCTAGCGTACATTTCCCCTCCAGACCTCGAGCAATCCTCAAGAGTAAAGGGGAGGATGACCATGAAACCCAGACAGCTGCTTTAGGCTAGGACAGTTCTATGCACACCACCAGTGTGTACAGGGACCCTAAGTACTGTTTCATGTTTGTTTGTTTGGTTGGTTGATGGTTGGTTGCTTGGTTTTTCGAGACAGGGTTTCTCTGTGTAGCTTTGGAGCCTGTCCTGGATCTCACTCTGTAGACCAGGCTGGTCTCAGACTCACAGAGATCCACCTGCCTCTGCCTCCTGAGTGCTGAGATTAAAGACATACGCCACCACTGTCCGGCTAAATACTGTTTTCTTAGTGACAGTGTTTGTATGAACACAAGGGCTCAGATTGACTGGCTTTTCACAAACACCAACCATGTGGCTCCCTTCGTGTTCCTCCTTTAGGGGCCACTGACAACCCAGCTGTTGCTGTTGTGCTGTTTTGTTCTCTAACTACTGGAAAAACAAACTGCATGTCACTTGTGGGTGACAACAGGTAGTCATTAGAGATGCTGCATTTGGGACTCCGCAGCCCTTCAAAAAATGAAGAGCAAGGTGTGTTCCTGGTGCTTTGATTATCAATGCCGCAGTCCAAGGATTTGGACAGAAATACTGAAAATTTTAAATAAAGCTGAAATCTGACTGGAAATCACTTTACAGATTGACTAGTGATAAACCCATTCAGAAAGTTTCTTCATTTCTAAGGTTACCTAAGCAAACTAGAAAAGAGGGTGGTGTAGCATGAATCTTAAAGAGTCTTATTAATAAAATCAAACCTGGAGCCAGGTATTGGGGTGAATGCTGGAAGATCAGAGAAGCAGAACAAGCCACAGCTACCTCACCTCGCCAGTTCCTCAGCTGATCCTGTTTCCTCAGACTGGAAGCTTCTGAGTCCTCATCCAAATGGCTCTCAGCTGAACTGCTGCTCGAAGCCTGAATGCTTAACCAGCCAAATGCTTCTAGTTCCTGGTCCTCACGCCTTATATACCTTTCTGCTTTCTGCCATCACTTCCTGGGATTAAAGGCTCACTTTCTGGGATTAAAGGTGTGTGTCACCATGCCTGGCCGCTTCCAATGTGGCCTTGAACTCACAGAGATCCAGAGGGATTTCTACCTCTGGAGTGCTAGGATTAAAAGTGTGAGTGCCACCATTTTCTAGCCTTTGTATCTAGTGGCTGTCTGTTCTCTGACCCCAGATAAGTTTATTAGGGTGCACAATATTTTGGGGAACACAATACCACCACAGGGTGAGGGATCTAAGTATTCACTGTGCTTTCCAAGCACTTTTAGTGTTACATAAAGAACAGCCTTGGTGTGGTACATACAAAAACGGAACAGCATAAGTGAAACACAAGGGGTGTACTGTACCTTGTTTTACCTGTGAGGAACACACACCTGGCAAAAGGCGATTTTCACATCCAAGGTTGGTTCACTGCAGTAGTACAAGAAATGGAGGCTCATAAATACCTACAGGAAACAAAATTGGGTGATAAGTTTCCAAGTCACTAACTTTTAGTTATTTAATAGTATAGATTTTATAGTCATCTGAGTTATAGACAAGAGATCATAAATAGCACATATGAACCATAGTGCTCACCCATATCTATACTGAGTACCTTTCACAAATTATATTACATAAGGCAAAATGGTAAAATACTTTATGTTCTATGATGATCAATGTCATCATGGTCATATATATTAGATATAATAATCGAATATTCCTAATAAGTTAAGGCTAAATACAAAATTTATGTAACATTTTCAATGCTGGGCATCTAATTGAAAAAATATCAAACGTATGCTCAAGAGGATGTGTATGGAAGCTTATTGTAGAATTCGATGTTTGTTACAGTTCAGAATGGCATGCTCACCATAGACTCGTATGCTGGAGACTTGATCCCTACTACAGCAGTGTTCAGGTAACTGGACCATGACGGTACAAACCTAATAAATTAGAAAGTCCTCGGGTGGAACCACAGCCGAGTGGTCTGCTGAGGGTGTGGAAACTCAAGGTGGTGGGGCTAGTGAGAGGACAGACGTCACTGGGGGTGCTTCTCAAGGCTCTGTCTTGTTCCCTGTCCTTCACTCATTCACTTTTCCTGCCTCCCTGTCCACCACATGCTCCTTGCCCTGATGTCCTTCCTCATGGACTAACACCTCTCAAATGGTGAGCCAAAATACATATCTCCTTTAAACTGTTATTTGTGGGTGTGTAATCTCAGTGATGGGAAACTGATGGAATACTAGGAAGCAAACTAAAATATGTAATATAACTATAAAAGATGTAGAATCATTAGATTCTAATTTAATGTATAAATACAGATAAACTCTTCCAACGTGCTTTGGGGGGAAGCAAGTTTGAAGTTCCCTTATTAAAGATTTAAGATATACAAAAATAATAGCACTCATTATTTTAAGTACATATAACTATAAAACAAAGAAAAGTGGGCACTCTATTAATATCTGTTTGATCTCAGTGGAAATTAAAAAGATTTAATTACACCATTTTCTGTGGATTTGAAATATTTAACAATTCTACAAGGTTGCAAGAGGAGGAGAATGCTAAGGCAATGCCAAATGAAGACCTGAATTCCTTGGTAATGATACAGTATCAGAAGAACCCTGCAGCTTCACCCATTTAATTAAACATATTTTTGAACATCATCGCATGCAAGGTAACATTCTGTGAGATCAAAGGATTTAAAACCAAGCATGGATGTAAGACTTCTGTTTCTGGCATATGATTGATTAGGTATCCTAAAAACCACTCAAATCAAAACTCCTAAAAAATATCTTGGATGAGAGACATAAAAGACTTTAAGATGCATAGCTAAGCTTTTCAAAGGGGACAAGAAAGGTTCTGAGAAGCAGAGAACAGTGTAGAGGGGCCACACAGACACCCAGGAGCCAGAGCTGCTGCTTGGCCCTCACTACCTGCCATTCCTGGTAACTAGATTTTCAGGTTTTAAAGAGAATACTCAGAGTACAGTGAACACACATCTGTCCACCTGGGTGGGAAGTGACATTGAAGATAACTGAAAAAGCCTTGCGAGAGGAAATTTTAAACCAACTTCATGAGGAAGCAGAATAAACCAGAGTGAGGTCAGAGTTGATAGAATCATGTTCAGTATTGGACTTTGATATACATTTTATCTTTCAAATAAGGAAGAGTAAAAGGATTTAAAAAAAAAAGTAGACCATCCATGAATAGAGAAAAGTCTGGGTATTTGTTTGGATGTGGGAGAGAGAAATAGTCTAGTAGATATGAAAGTATAAGATTATTATAGAAGTTGGGTATCAATTAACAGAATAAGGAGCATAGAAAGAGATAGATCCATACATGGAGACCAGATTATATTAAGGTCTACATTTTAGATATCTGGAGAAATGAGAAACTCTGTGTTGAGTCATGAATGTGACAACTGGCCATTCATGTGGGAAGAAAGTCAACCCCTACTGGAAGACAGTTCTGTATGGGACTCTTGCATTTGTGTGTGTTTTACAAACAGAATCCCTGGCTGCTTTTGTTCCAGTCTCAAGGAAGGTTATACAGCAGACATGCTTGGAAGATACATACAGCACCTCCCTCTTAGATCAAAGAGGATGTCCAATCATTCTATAGTATAATAAAAACTAGAGAAAGCCTTGGATATGAGTTAGACATGTTTCCCATTCGTTATAAAGGACTTGAGGCTCCTAAGATTAATGCAATATGCGCCTGAAGTGTGTGTGATAATTCTCCAACCTGCCTTGCGTCACTCTGTGGGAACTAAAGTCAAGAAGCTGTTCTGAATGTTGACACTCTAGCTTCTAGATGATGGTACTGCTGTAAGTAGCAAAGACCTGTATCGGATCAGAGAACCTTGTGTCATCTGCCATTATCCATGAAATGATGGAAAGTCAGTTTAGAAGCTTGCACGTGGGGTTATACCACAAATACTTTAGAAGTCTTAAGAACTTCTATATATATTTATATATAACTCATGTTATATAGAAGAAAAAATCCAGATAAGGTTAAAAACCTCAGAAAGGGTCAAATTTTAAATATTACAAGTTGCAAATATTACAGAAGAAAATACAATTGAATGTCAGAGACATAGAAATACTATGCAGATACACTAAAGTATAAAGGAAATTATTACTAAATAGTATTAAATTTAGTAAGTTTATTTATGAAAAGATCTAGTGAGTTTTTTAAAAGTAGACCACAAATCTGGGAAGGTATTTAAAACACACAGCCAATGGAAAGTTTAGTTAGAATTTATATAAAACTTAAAAAAAATAATCAAGACAAACTCAGAGAATCCAGCAGGAAAAAAATGAACTAAATAAATTAAAAATACTTCATAGAAAAAATGCCCATAAACACATGATGTATAATATAAAACCACCGTGAAATCATGTCTGATACTGATCAAATGACCTGAAGCTGAGAAGAGATTCTCCAGTATCCACAGGGAGAGCTGAGCAGAAGCCAGTATTCATGCACTTTGAGAGCTATGCAGTCGGAAATGAATTCAGGAGAAACAGAATTACTTCCTAAAGTTGTGCACAATATACAATCCAACAAATCCCTATGTACACGCATTCTTGAGAAGCTATTGTGTTTTTTCTCAGGCTACACACACACACATACACACACACACACACACACACACACACACACACACACACACACACACACGAGGACTCACTCCAATATCTCTGCATCAGTAAAGTAAGTAACAAAAACTAAAACTTGAGAAATATACCCACCGGCAGAACAGTGAAGAAGTTCTGTTGTTTAGTAGAATTCAGTGTGACTGTGAAATGGACATTTAAAGTGACCATTCGTCAGCACTCCCAAATCTCTTCAAACACTGACTAAAACGTTTCATTTAGGAAATGTAGAAACTGCAGAGTTCAACAACTTGGAGGGATTTTTACCTATAACCATAATGTAGCTATGGACTTATTTTTTGCTCTGTACCTCCTCTCAGAAATATTTTGTGCATTATATGTATGGACCCAATATAAAGTTCTTTCTTACACATTGCTATTTTATGCAGCTATGACTGGTTCATTTCCCAAATGCTTATTGCTAAACATCAGGCTACTTTCTGTATGTGACCACATAGCCTACAGATCAGGCCCGGTGTCTTATGGACTGGACTTTGCTTATATAGAGAAGGAAGGCAGTTTTCACTTCCTCTTGCCCTTCTGCGGCTCCTGCCTCCTTCTTCCTTGCCAGGACGCTCTCCAGTTGTATGGGTTTCCTCCAAATTGAAACATTCCCTCCAGGGGTGTAGAGGGGGCTTGTGGAACTGAAGGTAAACAAAGGTTAGAGACTGGAAAAGTGAAAACATGCAAGGTTGTGGCCAGCCCTCCCCAGCTTTACAGCAGAGTGAATAACTACTGAGAGAGACTGGACCAGCCCAACGGTAGATGTGTTACGTGGTGTCCTGCCACTTCTCGGACACCAGTTTATGTAATACTGTCAATACTGTTCATATGTCTGCTTCAAGCAGATTATGACTTCCTCCAAGGAAATGGCTAATTGTACTTATCATAATCCCAGGCTCTAACACTGTTCTTTGTATTTGTCTGATGTCAGGTACATGTTCATTGAATAAAAAGGGATCCAAATGAAAAACAGACAAAAAACTCTTTCCTTCTCTGGCACAAATCTAAGTATTTCCATTGTCTCTTCAAATGGAGGGCTGTAGATGTTCAGTCGAGTTTGTGGTAATGGTCCGGTAAAGGAGTTTAGAGCGATCTGAAGGATTCTCATGGGGATGGCTTCAGAAATGATCTCCAGCAGGACAGGTTGGTTCTGTGCTGCTTGAGAGGGCATGTGGAAAATGACCTTCAGCAGGCCACCTGAAGGGAATGACTAACGTGTTTAAATCTTTCATGACGGAGTGTTCTGTAAGGAAAGCAAGCTTGCTGAGCTTCCCTGCTGTATTGCAATGACTCCAAGTGTCACACCGAGGCTGAATAAGTCACTGAAAGGCCTGATTATTCCAGAAGAAGAACATTTAGTGTGATAATACCAGTGAGCTACAAAAAAAAAAAAAAACACAAAAAACAAAACTTGTTTGGAAATCATATTTCTTGACACTAGGACAGAGAGCTTCGGCACCATTGTGCAACAGAAATGATCATTATTGGCCAAACTGTAAGAATGAGATGCTTATGACTTTGTCAGGTGGAACTGGTGTACAGCACTGGCCATAAATAATAGCAGTTTATGCTTTCATAGCTTAAGTCTCCATTGGAATTCTTTTGTGTGGATGTTATCCCATCCAAACCATGGAGGCTTAAAAAGTTTCATAAATGAAAAAAAAAGGAAAAGAAAAAGAAAAGAAATCCCAAGTGTTCTGGCAGTTCCAAGTTGCATGATTTGTCTCTACACTGTACCGTACAGGGATATAAGACAGACTATTGGCTCCCAAAAAATGTTCAAATCCCAGCAGTTCTGTTGAACT